TGATCCGCATAGCCAAGGAACACACACCTTTCAGCTCTAGGAGACAACTTACTTCTCTGATGCTTGTGTAAGTGAACATAAGCAACACAACAAAAAACTCTATGTGTTAGTTCAACAATTTTAGGACTTACTACTGCATCTGTAAGTGATTGAAGAGGTGTTTTATACTCAAGAGACCTGGACGATGTTCGGTTGATAGTGTATACTGCATATGTGAGAGCTTCTTCCCAATATATTGCTGGCATGTGAGCTCCAATTAGTGCAGCTCGGACCACCTCCAATAGATAACGGTTCTTTCGTTCTGCCACCCCATTCTATTGTGGAGTACTTGGACAAGATCTTTGATGAAAAATTCCTTTGGCTACTAAAAAATGTTGAATTTCTGATTGCATATATTCTCCTCCATTGTCACTGCGCAGTACCTGAATTTGTGCTTTGTATTGGGTCTCAATCATTTTGCAGAATTTCTGAAATAGTCCTCCAACTTCACTTTTAGACTTCATCAAACATAACCAAGTCATTCGAGTACAATTATCAATAAACGTTACAAACCACGTTGAGCCACCCAACGTTGTAACCTTAGATGGACCCCATACATCAGAGTGAATGATCATAAAAGAAAGAGAACTTTTATTTAATATTAAAGGAAAATGTGTTCTATGACTCTTTGCAAGCTCACAAACATCACAATAAAAAGTTGAAGTGTCTACTTGGTCAAATACATTTGGAAATAATTTCTTTATGTAACCAAAAAATGCATGTCCTAGACGCTTATGCCATAACCAGATATCCTCACCTTTTCTTACTTCTTAAGACCCTTTTGTTGCTAGCACTTGACCAAGTCTCTTTGAATCTTTTTCTGTCAGGTCCAGGTAATACAACCTTCCTCGCCTAATACCACAATCGATCGTCTTCCTCGTTTGAATATCCTTAAAAACACAAGAGTCAGGGCAAAAAATTACAACATATAAAAGAACTTTGGTTATTTGCAAGACTGACAATAGGTTATATTTAAGAGAAGGAACAACAAGGACAGTATCAAGATTCAAATTGTTTGAAATAGAGACAGTTCCTTCTTCAATAATAGTGGATTTACTACCATTGATTGTGGATATACTTTTTTGTGAGGAAGATTTAAGATTTTTTAATTTGTCTAACATCAAAAGTCACATGATCAGAACATGCAGAGTCAATTATCCATGCATTATTCAGAACAGTAGATTTGCTTATTAAAGCCTTACCATTAGAATCATCACTACCTGCGATTGTAGCAAGCATCATGCCTTTGTCATCCTCTTTGTCAATGGCAGTTACAACAACAACAGTTGAATTTCTTTTTGAATTCTTCTTCGATGCTCGATTGTGATCCCACCACTCAGGGTATCCTATGATTTCATAGCATCGTTCCTTGGTGTGTCCATCCTTATTACACTGAGTACACTTGTAGTTAACTTTTTCAAAATCTTTTGATTGCTTCGATTTGCTGTGGTAATTTGCTGGCTGCTTCTTTGTCATCATAGCTGTGGAATCAGAAATCATGTATTCTGTTTTCAACATTGTTTGTCGGACTGTCTCTCTTCGGATCAATGCATAGCATTCTTCTAAATCAGGTGTCACTTCTTTGCGTAAGATTTCTCCACGAACTTGCTCAAAATCATCATCTAGTCCAGCAAGGAATATATGCACCCTTAATCTTTCAATAGACTTCTGATATGACTTCACATCATCAGGGTCCTTCATGACTACTTTGTCACGATGGTCCAATTCCCTAAAAATCTAAACCAACTCCCCATAATATTCAGTTAAGGTTCTATTATTTTGTTTTGCAGTGAATGCCCTTTGATTCAGGGCAAACACCTGTAGCTCATCACTTCCATCACAAAATGCCTTTGACAAAACATTCCAAATATCGAGGGCAGTGGGTAAGTGAATATACCTTTTCATAATTTCTGGCTTCATGGACATCAATAGCCATCTTTTCACTTTTTGGTTTTCAGCATACCATTTTTCATATCCCTCATCGTTCTCTATTGGAGGCTTCACCTTTCCACGGATATAGGACAAATTTTCCCTCTCTGCAATGTGCATCTCCATTAGTTGTGACCATACGTCATAATTGGATTCATTTAGGATGATGCCTGCGTTGAAGACACCTTCAGATTGAACAACCATTGGAATTAGTTTTTCTGCCATCTCTCTAGTTAAGATCTCCAAGGATTTTGAAAGAAAAAGAAAAAAGTTATAAACTCTGGTACCAAATTGAAAAACATAGAATTCATTCTATAATTTGTATTCATATTATTTTTGTACACATATACTATGATCTTATAGTATTTTACTCTAACAAATCAGGACTAAATATAGGAAGTTCTGATTATACAATATTTTGTACCGCTATACAAACCTATAATTTAGCTAATCAAATATCTTTATCCCAACAATAAAGACCCTTTAAATATGTTGAAAGTCCCACATCGCCTATCTCATATTATTTGGTATGGTTTAAATACATGTTAGGCTACTCCACATATTGCTAATTGGTTTTATGTTGGAACCTTAACATGGTATCAGAGCCAAAGCCTAACATATTTCTGGTTATTGTCATGGGCCAAAAGTTGCCCTTTAGTTGTGTCAAAAGTACCCTTTGCCTGGTCCGGCAGACTTCGTTGGAGGGGGTGTGTTGAAAGTCCCACATCGCCTACCTCATATCATTTGGTATGGTTTAAATATATGTTAGGCTACTCCACATATTGTCAATTGGTTTTATGTTGGAACCTTAACAAAATATGACAAATCCAAACTTTACTGCAAAAGACAATTATAAGACTTTAAGTTCAATACCAAGTTTTCTAATAAAGAGTAACTCCAATGCGCATTTAAGTCAATTGAAACAAAACCATCCACAGCTACATTTACATATTCAACACATACTAAATAGTAAAAGAAATGACACCTAGTTAATGTGTACATGTACATAATGAAATAAGACCAAATTGTAAAAAAACAAGAGTCTTTAAAAAAAATCAGAAATAGAACAGGTCCTTAATAAAAGCATTTTAATGCATGTTTAGTAATGTTAATCCCATTTATCTTGGGCTAATTTGTTGATCAATAGCATTATTTTAGATTAGATTTTAATACTTAGACATAATTAGGCTTAATTGTGCATTTTAGTTAATTCGGATTTTTTTAAAGCCTTTTAACCTCTATGCACTAAATCAGTGATATCTGGAGTTGTGGTTTGAGTTTTTGAATAATTCTTTTTGGGTTAGAAAGCTAACATTCATATATATATATATATATATATATATATATATATATATATATATATATATATATATATATTATAATTATTGGATGTCAAATTTGGGCTCAGTTTGAATTTGAATCTAGTCATTAAATTTTGCCAGGAGTAATTTTTCAGTAATGACATGTGTTGATTGAAAAGATAATATCTCAAGCTACAGATCGAATTTGAGAATTAGGCTTAGTGCGTTAGAAAGCTGATTCAAAGAGATTTAATTTGATATATAATTTGTCAAATTTCGATCTGTGGATTATTTTATATGATTTTTAGAAGTTAGACCTTTATTTCAGTATTTTTGTATTGTAAATGTTGCGAATCATATTGGGCCTTAAAAAGCCCAACCGGTTTTAACCATTAGGATTAGCTCAAATAAAGCTTCTATGGCTGAATTGAGCCGGAATTTTTTTTTTCCAATTTTTTTCAGAGTTTTAGAATTAACGAGCCATTTTTTTTTTCTCTTTTTACAGTTTAAAAACATTTTCCTCCAATTGGAGAATTCAACACATATTCTTGTTTCTCTTCTTCAAACTTTCGTCTAGTACATTTCTTGATTAGGATTGTGAATTGATGTGCAAATCTGATTAGGTTTGTACTAATTGAAAGAGAATTAATTGATTAATTGATTTCTCTAATTTAAGGGAGGATGCAAACTCGAATTCTAGTTCTATGTTGTTGATTTTTGGATTCAATCTTTGATTGTTGATTTTCGTTTTTCATGGCTGTTTTTAGTTTTGTTGCTATCATTCTAATTAAAGAGAACATCTAACAATGAACATATTAATGTGCATCTTTGGAGAAATGACCTAGGTTAGTCCCTGTAGTGTTTGATAATATAATACTATTTGTGCTATCAGTCCTAAATCCAAAGGGATTATTTGGCCTTGAGCAACTTTTCTATTTTTCAAATTTTTACAATTAATAAAAAAATGCCATTTTTTTTTACTTTTTTTAAGATTTGCATTCAAAACCATGAAAGCAAAGTAACATATTGTGATTATTTGTGAAACCAAGAAATGAAGATGGAAAACATTTTCTTTAACCAAACAACACTAAGATTCTCAGAAGTAAAATGAATAAACACTATTTTTAGCACCCAAAACCTATGTTAGCATTCATTGACAACGATGGAAATAACTAACTCATGAACATGAAAATAAATTAAGAAGTAACCTACCACTGTTTGGTGCTTTTTCTTGGATAATTGTGAATACTCTGACGGCAACAAATAAAAAAAATGTTAGTTTTTAAATAAACGCAAAATTTTATCTAAACTTTGTTAAAGTCATAATGGCTTACCCATTGAACCACCAAAATTCATAAAAGAAGTTAAGAAGCTGAGTTCTCCAGTACTTTTGTTCTACTCAAATATAATAAGTTATCAATGAATAATAAGGAGGATGAAACAAAGAGTGAACATAGTTCATCAAATGAAAAAATTGTCCATAAAAAAAAAACAATAACTATAAGGAATCTAGAAGCATAATATTAAAAAATAGAGAATAATAGTAGATTATGACAACTAATATTACAACTGTATAAAAAAAAAGAGAAGAAGAGGTTAGATAACTTCAAAAAAATAAAGAATAACATAGTTTTATTCAATAAAAGATAAATCAGTACAACTTGCATGATATAAAGTCTATGATACCTGTGCAAGTATAACTTTAAGAACACCATATATTACTGTGTAGAATTACTCAAAATCATGAACAAAATAATGTACGACAAAAAAGTCTAGATAGTATTCTACAAAAAGGGACAAAGAAAGTTTGAGATTGAAATGTAATCATTGGAGGTGTAGCAAACCAGAAAGAAAAAGTTCAAAATGATTTTGTATTTAATATTTAAGAAAAAGATATCTAGACAAAGGCAGACAACTTTAGCTTTATGGTACCAAACTAAGGACTTTCTCATTATGTGATCTTCCAACCTACATTTATTAGCAGCCAATGGTTAGTGCATTTCCACAAATACTGGTATCAGTATCATATTTATTAAAATTAAATTAGGAAAAGAGAATGAGATAAAAATAAGAATAACTGGGGTTTCCATTTTTTTGTAAAAGAAGATCAAGTATGCCCCTTTCTGTGTTCATTGTCTATTTCTATATAGCACACTAACTTCCACTTCTCTGAAACACACACAAACACAACACCATATTATCTCATCACAACAACAACTACTAATTATTTTTTAGCCTTCTCTGTCTCTCTCCCCTTGGTGGTACACACGAGTAGAAATACTTGTGTTCATTCCCATACTTAATTATGTAACAATTACTTCAATCTGTTTATGCATTTAGAAAATTAATTAATATATAACACCAAACAATCAAACCTTGAGACAGGAACAAGAATCAAATTATTTAACTTGACATAACTGTTACAAAAATAAATGTTTGAGAAAAAGTAAGTCAGAATTATTCAAAATTTCTCTATGATTTTGACAATCTTGTATGATGTGAAATTTTAACGTGTTTAGTTTTTATACTTTTGTATTTTTGTTGAGTTTCATTTGTATGTAATGTAATCTCTTCATGCTCAGAAAATCGGTATATTTATGAGGGTTTTTTTTTCTATTCACAGTTTAGTGATGAATAATGCAAATCAAGAAGGGCATGCTACATCACTATCTCGACTACAAACAAAAGTTAAAAAACCTTGAGATTTCTTGTGTACCAACTCCTCTTACAACAAGGTGTATAATAAAGTTCTTGAAATGTTTTAGTAACAAAGGAATATATAAATGAGTCACTGTTGAACGATCTTAACTATATATATATATATATATATATATATATATATATATATATATATATATATATATTTTTTTTTTTTTAAATTTGATGGTAGGGACAATTTCCTGATAACTAATTGGTATTGTGCAATGCCAACCACATTTTCTTTTAAATTAGTAATATGAGATATCAAGGGGTAAGAGAGAAGAACAATAAACAAAAGGATAATACTTTGGCATTAGTTACCTCGTGGGCAGAACAGTCCCCATAAACATTGCTTATTTCTACAGGGTTCAATTGAATGTCTGTAATAGATTGTTCTAACTTTTCAAATAACTTGGTCTTCAAATTGTTAACCTGCAAATAAATTGAAAACCTAGCATCATACAACATTTATTAATAACACCGATGAAAAATATGATGCTATTTCTCTTTAAAAGGTAGGAAACATGGGGGATGCTCAATGCTCTCCATAAAACACCAAAATAAATCATTATGGGGAAAGTTCTTCAATACTAAAATTCAGAAAACAATTACTAGCTAAGCTGATAAATCCCATTATCATAACTAACATGAAAAATGCAATTCTTCTATTTATAAAAAATGTACAAACCAGAAAATCCAACTGCTTAAGAAGCATTGCTGCATCAACTCTCACTTGTATTGATTCAGAATCTAAAAATAGCTTCCCCTGGTTAGATAGAAAAATGTCAAATCATGATAACAAGCTTCTTTTTAAAACAATCGAGTGTCACTATTCAGTAAAACATTAGAGATGTATGATAATACTGGCCAATTGATCATTTTAAGTTTTACCGTGTTTAGAAGACTAGATTAGAATGGTGGATAGGGTAAGCTAATCCTATCCAATTTTACTATGAAATCAGTCAGTAAAAGAGATAACATCTTAGTTGTCCAAAAATGGCTGATTTTACAACTTCACAACTAAATATGCTTATATATTCTACATTACAACTAAATAAGCTTATATATGCCATCAAAAATAGAGAAACACAATGCAAAACCTTGACCATAATTTGCAAAAGCAAAACGTCCAATGGAACCAAAATTCAACACTTTAAAGAAAGTGGTAACATTTAACTTACATATCAAACACGAGAGTCTCTCAATCGAAATCTTCCTGACTGGTCTTCGACTCAAAATTTTGATTCCCCTTGCTTCCAGAATTCGATTGCCCACCACTATTCCCCCCACCATTAGCACATAGAAAAATCATACCATGTAAAACTACATTTAATAAGGAAATTCAAATGGTTTGAATAAACATTACCGTGTATATAGAGGTCCTGCTCATCATGTCCTATGCTCGGGTTAGAGGGGATTTGAGGTCATCGGGTTAGGGTTCTAATACGACGTTTCTTGGGTTTTGGTTGGAATTGAGGTCGTCGGGGTTAAGGTTATGGTTGGGGTTCGAGATCGATGAGGTTGAGTCGAGGTTAGGGTTCGACATCCCTGGGGTCTGCGTTAGGGTTCGAGGTCCGCTGGGTTTGCGTAGGGTTTCACAACACGACGATTGTAAAACCTTTATGTTGCTCCATATAGTCTCTTCCTCTGAGTCACCATGAAGAAAGGTTGTTTTCACATAATGTTTCTCAACTTCTAAATTTAAAGTTGTTGTCAAGGCAAATACAACTCTAATTGAAGACATTTTGACCACATGTGAAAATATTTCTTCAAAAATAAATACCTTTCTTATTGACTAAATCCTTTTACCACCAACCTTGCTTTATATCTTGGTTGTGAGTTATTCTCCTTTGATTTCAGTTTGAACACCCATTTATTTTGAAGTGCTCTCTTGCCTTGAGGCAGTTTCACCAACTCAAATGTGTGATTCTCATATAAGGATTTAATCTCTTCTTGCATGGATTTATAGGATTTGTCTTTCTCTTTATGTAACATAGCTTCTTCATAGCTTTCAGGCTCTCTCCATTCATTAACAACACAAACTCATGAGCTAGATATTTTTTAGAAAGACAAATCTCTTTAGTAAATCTTCTCAACTCAGGCTTCATACGAGGTTCAGGAGGATCTAGTTTAGTTGGTTTATTGAATTAAGTCTCAGACATGTTATCTACATTCTCCAAATTTGTATTCACATCTCTCCCGTGATTAACAACACTGATAGGAGGTTTAGGCTCAACATCATTGCACTAAAAAACATGTCTTGACTTTTCTTTCTTGTCAATATCTTCAATGGTCTTATCTTCAAGTAAAACATCTCGGCTCCTAACAATCTTCTTATTAACTAGATCCCAAAATCTGTAGCCAAAATAATGACGACCATAACCCAAAGAAATATATTGTTTGAACTTCTCATCAAGCTTAGGTCTTCATCTCTAGGGACATGGACAAAGGCCTTGCAACCAAACATCCTCAAATGATTATAAGAAACATTCCCTTTCCACACACTCTCAGTGACATCACCATTAAGAGGAATGGATGAAGAAAGGTTGATCAAGTCCACTATAGTTCTTAATGTCTCACCCAAAAGGCTTTAGGCAACTTTTCATTAGAGAACATGCAACCGATTCTATTATTAATTGTACAATTCATTCTCTCTGCAACTCCATTATATCGAGGGGTCTTTGAAACTATCTTCTCAAGTTTGATGACATGTTCCTTGCAATAATGCTCAAAAGGACCTCTAAATTCACCACCATTATTTGCTTAAACACATTTTAACAACTTTCCTGTTTCTTTTTCTAACATTGCATGGAAATGCTTGAACACATTGTTGGAATCGCACAGCGGAATGCTCGCGTTGTCGGACAAGAACCAAGAGGGGGGGGGGGTGAATTGGTTTCTTAACAAAAATTAGATTTTAAAATTTTTTCCCAAATTTTACCGATTAAAATACTGTGTAAACGTAAATAGAATAGAGATAAAGTCTTACACAGGAGATTTATACTGGTTCGGATCAAAAGACCCTACGTCCAGTTGCTAATCACTCAAACAGAGGATTAACGCTGTCACTATAATCAAAGTTGTTACAAACATATAACAATTGAAAATATAAAGTAAAGAAAACACCTCTCTTGAAACCCACAAGAGATGAAGAACAACTTTCCCTAGAGACGACACAACACACAATCCACTAAGAACTCCACTTAGTGATTCTTATCGCTTCTAACCCACACCAGGTTCCAAAAGCCCATTTTTCCTCCAACAAACAGTTCTCTGGCACTCACAACACTTAACTTTTGTTTAAAAAAGGTTTTTCTATTTTCTGAGAGCCTTAGAGTGTTAGAAATGTAGGTTGAGATCAAGAGGAGGGGGGGGGGTGAATTGATCTTTGAAAGATTTTTGCAAATTACAGATTATCTATTTCAAAGATTAAGATTTCAGATCAATTCTTGAATTATACATAGCAAGCAATTAAAACTAAATGCAGTGACGAAATTAAAGGAGAGAAAGGTTTAGAAAGATACAACCAATGTTTATACTGGTTCACCCAATCCCAGGGCTACGTCCAGTCTCCAGCCAAATTCCAGCTGGGTTCCACTAGATTGAACGTTTTACAGATTACAACTTTAATCTCACACTCAATCTATCACAAGAACCACAATTCCAGTTCCTGCACCTAAACCTTCACCAAGAACCAAATTCCAGTTCTTGACCAACCCTGCAGCCAAATTCTAGTTACATAAACCAGTGCCCACAATTCCAGGCACCCACAATACAGTAAAGAAAGTAAAGAAACAAATAGAAGAAACTTAGAACGCTCAAACTAGATTTATGCAGCTCTGCAGTAAAAGTTTCTTCTCCAAAAGAATGCAATTTTGCCTCAAGAAAGAACTCTTATGAACTTCACAAAAACTAGCGTGATTCTCTCTTGAAAGTAGCACTTATGCTTGCTTGATTGATTGCTAAAAGATGTGTTTTAAAAAGTTCAAGCAACTCTGTTTATATAGAGGATTTTTAAAACTGCTGGTTTATTTAATCTATTAAAATAATCTTTTAATCTGTTAAAAATCTTGTTTTAATCTGTTAAAACTTCTTTTAATCTGTTAAAATGTTCTTGATTATTTTCCAAATTTGTTTTAACTGATACGACACCGTTTATATCAATTAAAACTCTTTGTAAAAATCCTCCAAACTATTTTAATCGATTGTTTCGTGTTTCAATCGATTAAAATACTGCAAAACATTCTTATAAACTTTTCTAAGTGATTTTAACTGATAACAATCTGTTTTAATCGATTAAAACGCGTAGTAGAAATTCTCTTAAGTTGTTTTAATCGATTAAAACGCAGTTTAATCGATTAAAATTATTCTGATCGATCAAAAACTCATTCTGATCGATCATATGCTCATTCTGATCGGTCATATGCTCATTCTGATCGATCAACAAATACTCCAAGTGGTTTTAATCGATTATTTCGAAGTTATATCGATTAAAATACTTCCAGAACACTTCCCTGAACATTTTAAGTGATTTTAATCGGTTATTTCGAAACTATATCAGTTAAAATACTGACAGAAGGTTTTCAAAACTTCCTTTAATGAAAACAATCGATTATTTCGAAAACATATCAGTTAAAAACCTGTTACAAAAGTGTTAAGAACATTTTAGTTGATAAAGCTTGTATACTATTAGTTAAAATAGTTAATTAAAAAACCTTTTATCAAAATACTTTGTTTTTAACCGTTTAATCGCTTTTTAGAGGCATTTTGCAAAATCTTTTAAATGAAGAAACCTCATGCAGCAGAGAGATAAAAATGATTATACCTAAGAAGAGATGTAGACTCACTAATTCCACTACTCTTTTATCTAAGTGACCTTTGACTGCCACAAAGTAGCCTTTGACTTCATTTTTGACTTCATCAAATCAACAAGATCTTTGCCAAAGTAGTTCAATAAGATCTTCATCACTTTCAGTCTCCCCCTATTTGATGAAGACAAACACCTCTTTGAATAATAACTCTGCAGAAGAAGTCACTTGAATATATAGATTAGTGAGTATTCAAAAAATAATGATTTTCCCATTTCTCCCCCTTTTGACTTCATCAAAAATAGGGAACAGAGGAACAAAACAAATACAATGCATGGCAAAGTTTAGTTTTTGAAAACAGTAAGAACAAGATACTTTACTCATATAAAGATCAATCAAAGTTGATTCAAACTTATCTCCATTAACACGTTTGTAATGAATACAATTAACACGTGTAAAGATAAGGGAATCATGCTTTAGTAGCATGTTACAAGAACAACCATTAACTAAAGCCTTTAATTTTTCTTTTCAGAGTAATAATCGATTAAAAACAGGACGAAATCGATTAAAATGATCTTGTTACTAGTTTTAATCGATTAGAATAATGTTTTAATCGATTAAAACAGTGATGAATTTCAAAAGTTTGAAACATAAGTTGATTTAATGGATTAAATCGACATTTAATCGATTAAAATAGTAAAAAAAATGTTGTATGAGTGCTTTTAATCGATTTAAAGCTTGTTTATATCGATTATAACAACCAGTTTTGAAAACTAAGTAATGTTTGATGCATCTATCATGCCTAATTCAGTTTGGATTTTGAAAAATTGATTATTAGGAAAATGTTTTGAGATAATATCAACCAGATTGAGTAAGTTTTAGCCAATAGATCCATCAAAATCAGAATAGTATCTTTATTTGGCTAATTTAACTGATGTAAAATTATCAGAGAATTATG